TTTCTCGAGCTGGAAGCTGAGGCACAGTAGGATATAATTCGTAAAGGAAATGCTCGTGAGTAGTATGCTTTATGAGCCAGGCTGGGTTTCGCGTTACAGGCATGCTTGTCTATTGCGCCCCCTTGCCCTATATGGCTCATCAAGTAGGTGATTACTTCTCCATTCGGGGATTCGCTGCTACCCAAAAAAGTCCTCGCGTGCCGATGCAATGGCGCAAGAGTTTTCATGTCTCCTTGATTGCCTACGTGAACCCAACTATCCTCAGGTGCAGTTCCTTCTTTTTGTATGCAGTCGTGGTTGGCCAGAGACCAGGTTGATTTGCGAGTGTGGCTGCTTCTCTAATACTATCAATAGTGATTACATGGCAAGAGGGTGTGCTTTGATCTGGCCCTGAGGCTGATCAAAGCCCACGTGCCGGAGCGGCCGTGGGATTTCATCTTAATTCACATTCCAACACGACTCGATGTATAGTCGGCGTATAGTTGGGGCCGCACGCATGCGGTCAGGAGATGACCAGCCACGCCTTCGGCAATTCGTAAGGGGCGATACTACCCTTGGTGCCTGCAAGTTAGCAACTTTGTCCAACCCCACAAGAGTGTGGCCCGCTTTACACTCATTAAGCTGACTCATGCTGTTTACACCCTAGTTCCCTACACGTGTATGGGAGGCTCGGTTTATCATTTTAACGTCAAGTCTTAAGGCCTGTTTGTAGCGAAGCGCAGGAAGCCGGACGTGTCATGTCCAGCTAGGCACGATGAATGCGGGCAGACTGGCTTAGTCTGGTAGCCGAGCATAGGGAATTTAGTCAAATCGAAGTTCAAACAGTCAACACAGTGGGTATTATCTGTTCCCCCGTGAGGGCTGATGGCTGCAAGTTGGCGACATAGCCGCGATGTTGGAGTTTACTGAGATTTGTGTTGATACATGCACCCTTACCTGCTTTGATCTCATCTGAGAAAAATGTACCTAGTTGATGTGTGTAAGGAAACGAGTATACAACCGAGTATGAACTAGATGATGTACTATTACATGTCTCAGTTGTTCTCATTACTTGCAGTCGTCTAGATTTTGCGTAGTATTTGAAATAGGAATTTAGTGTATAAACGGAGACCGTACATCAAACTGAGAAAGATAAGGGTTTGCCGATTATTTAGAACGTAGCTCATACGAATATCCTAAGGTCACTACTTGAATAGGGTTGGGTTTATTTTTATGATGTTTTCATCCTAAATTGTTTTCCTCAGCCATCGTTTCAGATTTTTAATTTAAATTCCAGACGATTGCTTGAAATTAGTAGAAACGAGACCTAAACTTGGTCACGTAATTACTATAATTAGCTTTAAGAACATCAGCCAGATTCATTACTTGACAAATTTCTTGTTCAGAGTAACATTCATGTTGCATATGAAAGCTGTCAATAAGTAGTGGTTGACATTGAGAGCCTATCCTGGTTGGTTTTTCTGTACAACCAAATAAGACATTAGATTTTGTCTAACTCGGAGTTGTGACAAACCGAGCAATGAGATGATCCAGGGGATACTGTCAGATCATCGTATTTGGGATTTGTTTAATTGGAACTATCTTGTACACTTCTCACTAAGTACACTGGATCCGGGTCTGTATTCTCAAAATAGTTAATCGGAAACTGGCTAGACCAAGCCCGAGGCCTTGGTTTAATTTTTGATAAAGATGAGATTGCAGCGCAAGATTCAATTGTCCGTTACATCCGAATATCATATTATATAAAACAAAATGAATGTTTTCGCCGAGAGTAAAGCACATTGGTGAAGTTAGAGACTTGTATTCACGTTTTAAACACGATAGGTAATCATGCAGCCTTGTAATCATACTCACAAGCTCGCCTGATATGGCATTCCGTAGATATGAGTCTTTAAAGCTGTTTTCTACTCATGAGCTAGATTATTTTTGCTGAGCAAATCTTCAAATAAAGTGAAGTGTTTGTTGCAGGCTCTTAACTGCATCTTTTTTTGTTATTTTAATTACTAAATTCTCCATACGGCTTCCACGCAACTAGCTGCCTAGAAAGCTACACCGTTCCACATATTTTCAATAATCTCCGTTGGATCCAGGCTTGTGTATCAGACGCCCTTCACGGCCTGGGCCCTTCCGTCTCGAACTCGTCTACCCAAATTTCTCTACATTCAATTGCATCTCTGCCTTCGCCGTCTATCTTGACTGTATCGCGCATAGACCTTTGCACGGGTCCTACCTTATGCATTATAAGCACGATTTAGGCAGGTGTTGTTCTTGTACCTCTATTTCTTGGGTGGGAAATCTGCTAATGTGTGTGCAGGGATTCAGTCTTATTCCTTGAGCATCAAAACTGGCTAACGCATGGGTACTGAGCGTGGTGAGGTTTCTTTACTTATCACATAAAGTTGTGCCCTTCCTTTAAAGCACATCGCCACGCACACGTTCTAATTTGTCTTAAGTTTTCCTTTTTCACTAAGTGGCTTAGGATTTGGTGTTGAGTTGGCGGTATTTCTTGAAGTCTTGGATATAGCATTGCCAAATCGCCCTAGCCCGGCCTATGCCCGTATTTATTTTTTATCTGTCCTTGGTCGGGCTGAACACTTAGGGCGCTTGAGGTGTTGGTTGATCTGCCTATTTTTATCTAAATCGACGTTTTGTAAGCAACACGGCACTT